AAGGGGGGCGAATAGATGGGGTGAGGGGTGAGAAAGAGGAAGAGAGGAGAGATGAGACAGAGGGGAGGAGGAGAAGAGGAGGGGGAAGGGATGTAATAGAGGTAAAGGAAGAGAGGAAAGAGAGGGGGGAGTGGAAGTGGAGGGTGGAGAGGAGATAGGAGAGAGAAATAGAAAGGTACAGAAAGGAACAAGGGGGGGTAAAAGGAAGGAAATAGAGAAAGGTAAGGGGGCAAAAAAAGAAAAAGCTTAGAAGAGAGGATGGAGAGAACATAAGGATAGCATTTTGGAACGTAGCAGGTTTGAGTAACAAGGATAGAGAATTCTGGAGAGACCTGGAGAAATGGGATGCAATAGTAATGATGGAGACGTGGGTGGAGGAAAAAGGATGGGGAAAGGTGAGAGATAGGCTTCCAGAGGGATTCATATGGAGAATGCAGGCGGCGGTAAAGAAGAATAAGAAGGGAAGGGCAGCAGGAGGAATGATGATAGGTATAAGAAAGGAGGTAGCAATAACGGATACGGAGAGAGAGGAAGAGTCAGAGGGAGTCATGATAGGTAAGGTAAAATTGAATAAGAAGATAATTAGAGTGGTAGGAGCATACGTAAATGGAGACATGGAGAGGTAGCTAGGTATACTGGAAGGATGGATGGAGCAAAAGGAAAAGGGAGTAAAAACAATAATAGGGGGAGATTTCAATGCGAGGACAGGAGAGGAAGGGGGAAAGGAAAGTATAGAAGGAACCGATGAGTGGACGTTCAAGAGGTGTTCGAAGGATAAGAAGATAAATAAGGAAGGAAAGAAGCTAATTCAAAGTATAAAGGAAAGAGGATGGTATATTTTAAATGGAGGAGAGAGAGGAGACTGGAAAGGAAACTGGACATACTCAGGAGGAAGAGGCGAATCAGTCATCGATTACGTGATAGTGGAACAAGAAACGGAGGAAGAAATAGAGAGAATGGAAATAGAAGACAAGATAGACTCGGACCACCAGCCAACAGTAGTATGGCTGAAAGGACATAAGAATAAGGAGGCGAGAAGAAAGAGGACAGAAAGAGAGGGAGGAAGAGGAGTATGGGACGAGGAGGGGAGAGAAGCATTTAGAAATAAACTAGGAGAAATAAAAACAAGAGAAGGAAAATTGGACGAAGAAATAGATGGAATGGAAGGAAGAATTAGAGAAGCGATGGAGAAAGTAGAAGGGGAGAGGGAGACGGGAAGAAGAAAAAGGAGAGGATGGTGGGATGAAGAATGCAAGGAAGTGAAAGGGACGGCGAGGAAGGCGTTAAAAGAGTGGCTGAGAGGAAAAGGCGAGAGGCAGGAATACAGAAGAAAAAGGAAGGAATACAAGGAGTTATGTGAGAGGAAAAAGGAAGAAGAGAACAAAAAACTGGAGAAAGAGGCGGAAGAAGCGCACACGGAGGAAATGGTATGGAGGGTGGTGAACAAAGAAAGAAAGAAAAGGAAGAAGATAAACACAGAAATAGAAATGAAGCAATGGGAGGAGTATTTCAAAGCTTTGCTGGGAGGAGTGGAAAACAAAGTGGTATGGGGGGGAAAAGGGAGGAGAGAAAGGGAGAGGAAGGGGAAATAGAGAGAGAAGAGATAAGAAGAGCAATAAGTAAGGTGAAAGATGGAAAAGCAGCAGGAAGGGACGGAATACCGAACGAAGTATGGAAATATGGAGGAGAAAAGTTAGAAACATGGATTGGGGAGGTATGTAATAGGATATGGAAAGGGGAGGGATGGCCAGAGGGGTGGAAAGAAGGAATGATAGTACCAATAGTAAAAAAAAGGCAAGGAGGTAGGGTAGAAGATTACAGGGGAGTAACGATAATGCCGACGCTATACAAGATATATGCGTCGGTATTAGCGGAAAGGATAAGAGAGGAAATCGAGGAGAAAGGGATACTATCACCAACACAAACAGGTTTCAGGAAAGGGATGGGAACAATAGACAGTATATATGTAATGAATTATCTAATCAGTAGACAGATAAAGAAGAAAGGGAGGAAATTAGTAGCATTATTTGTGGACCTGAAGGCGGCATATGATTCAGTGGATAGAGGGTTATTGATAGAAGCGATGAGGAAGAAGGGAATAAGGGAGGGAATAATAGAGAGAGTGGAAGAGATAATGAGAGAGACAACGAGTAGGGTAAGAGTAAGAGGAGAAATAGGAAAGGAATTTTGGACAGCAAGAGGACTGAGACAAGGATGCCCATTAAGCGCGGATTTATTTAATATATTATTAGCGGATCTAGAAGAAGAAATGGGAAATGTTAAATGGGGAGGGATAAGGCTGGGAGAGGAGAAAATATACTCGATTACATATGCGGATGATGTGGTGGTGATAGCAGAGGACGAAGGATGTATGAAGAGCATGATAGAGAGACTGGAAAGATACATAAATAGTAAAAGGCTGGAATTGAACGTGACAAAGACAAAGATAGTAAGATTTAAAGAAGGAGGAGGAAGGTTGAGTAAGGTGGATTGGAGATGGAAGGGAAAGAAGATAGAAGAAGTAAAGGAGGTGAAATATCTAGGGTACGTATTACAAAGGAATGGAGGACAGGAAGCACATATAAGGGAAAGAGTAGCAAAGGCAGCAGCAATATCAGGACAAGTATGGGGAATAGGAAAGAGAAGATTTGCGAGAAAATAGGAAAGAAGGATAGCGCTATTCGACAAACTAGTATGGACAGTGGCGAGTTATGGAGCGGAAATTTGGGGATGGAGGACGAGGGAGAAAATGGAAAGTCTTCACGAGAGACACTTAAAATGGGTTTTAGGGATAGATAGATGGACACCAGGATACATGATAAGAGAGGAGATACAGAGGGAGATGATGAAGAGCAGAGCAGGAAAAAGGGCATGGAAATTCGAGGAAAGACTATTAGAGGGAAGAGGTAGCATATTAGCGCAGAAATGTTTATGGGAAATAAGGGAGAGTGCAAAGGGAGGTAGGGAGATGTCAAGCTGGTTGATAGAGAGGAAACTATTTTTAGAAGAAAAGGGTTTAGATAGTAAGGAATTAGAAGAAGAAAGGGAGAAAAGGAGGATAGAGTACGAAGAAATAGAGAGAAGGGACAAGGAAATGCAGAGAGAAGAAAGATGGAAAAAAATAAGAGAGTAAAAAAGCAACAGATGGTACGGGAGGATAAAAGGAGAGGGGATACCATGATATTTGAGGGAAGGATGGGGGGAGAGTAGATGGAGGAGGGTGTTAAGATTTAGATTAGGCAATGAAATGAAGGAGGGAAAATATTGGGAGAAGGAGGGAAAGAGAAAATGTAGATTGTGCGAGGATGAGATAGAGTCGTGGGAACATGTGTGGGAAAGATGCACAGAATGGAGTGGAAAAGAAGAGGAAACATGGCAGGAGGCGTACATGAGAATGCTTGGTGAAGATGGAGAGGGCGAGGAATGGATGAGAGAGGTTGAGAGAGAGAGAGAATGATGAGAGAGACGGAAGGTATGAGAGAGGAGAATGAGGTGAAACGGAAGTCCGAGGGGGGGAGGGGGGAGGAGGCGAGGGGACGAGGGACTGAGAGAGAGGGGTGGGAGGAGGGCGAGGGGTGGCGAGGGATGGCGAGGGAGAGAGGTGACGAGCGAGCGAGCGAGGGGTATGCGAGCGAGCGAGGGGGGGAGCGAGCGAGCGAGGGGGGGAGCGAGCGAGCGAGAGAGAGGCGGAGAGAGAGAAAGCGAGGAGTGGCGAGCGAGCGAGCGAGAAATGGGCGAGCGAGCGAGCGTGAGATGGCGAGAGAGCGGGGGAGGAGTGGAGAGAGGTAGATAGCGAGCGATTAAAGAGAGCGACACGTAAAGGTTTGGGTACGTTCCTGAAAAACGCCGTCTTTGTAACAGGTTTGGGCACGTTCCTTAAAAAAACGCCTTGTAATCCCCGAGGGGAAACAATAAACATATATACAGGGTGGGCCATTTTAATTTATACAGTCGATTTTTTAAAAAACTAAAAGAGATATGAAAAAATG